GACTTGGTGAGTGACTTGGTGAGTTGGTGAGTGACTTGGTGAGTGACTTGGTGAGTGACTTGGTGAGTGACCTGGTGAGTGACTTGGTGAGTGACTTGGTGAGTGACTTGGTGAGTGACTTGGTGAGTGACTTGGTGAGTTGGTGAGTGACTTGGTGAGTGACTTGGTGAGTCACTTGGTGACTTTGTGAGTGACTTGGTGAGTGACTTGGTGAGTGACTTGGTGAGTTGGTGAGTGACTTGGTGAGTGACTTGGTGACTTGGTGAGTGACTTGGTGAGTGACTTGGTGAGTGACTTGGTGAGTGACTTGGTGACTTGGTGAGTGACTTGGTGAGTGACTTGGTGAGTTGGTGAGTGACTTGGTGAGTGACTTGGTGAGTTGGTGAGTGACTTGGTGAGTGACTTGGTGAGTGACTTGGTGAGTGACTTGGTGAGTTGGTGAGTGACTTGGTGAGTTGGTGAGTGACTTGGTGAGTGACTTGGTGAGTGACTTGGTGAGTGACTTGGTGACTTGGTGAGTGACTTGGTGAGTGACTTGGTGAGTGACTTGGTGAGTTGGTGAGTGACTTGGTGAGTGACTTGGTGAGTTGGTGAGTGACTTGGTGAGTGACTTGGTGAGTGACTTGGTGAGTTGGTGAGTGACTTGGTGAGTGACTTGGTGAGTGACTTGGTGAGTGACTTGGTGAGTTGGTGAGTGACTTGGTGAGTGACTTGGTGAGTGACTTGGTGAGTTGGTGAGTGACTTGGTGAGTTGGTGAGTGACTTGGTGAGTGACTTGGTGAGTGACTTGGTGAGTGACTTGGTGAGTGACTTGGTGAGTTGGTGAGTGACTTGGTGAGTTGGTGAGTGACTTGGTGAGTGACTTGGTGAGTGACTTGGTGAGTGACTTGGTGAGTTGGTGAGTGACTTGGTGAGTGACTTGGTGAGTTGGTGAGTGACTTGGTGAGTGACTTGGTGAGTGACTTGGTGAGTGACTTGGTGAGTTGATGAGTGACTTGGTGAGTGACTTGGTGAGTGACTTGGTGAGTGACTTGGTGAGTTGATGAGTGACTTGGTGAGTGACTTGGTGAGTGACTTGGTGAGTGACTTGGTGAGTTGGTGAGTGACTTGGTGAGTTGATGAGTGACTTGGTGAGTGACTTGGTGAGTGACTTGGTGAGTGACTTGGTGAGTGACTTGGTGAGTGACTTGGTGAGTGTCTACCCAGAGCCCTGCTGTGGCCCCCTGTCGGGCTGACGTCGACTGTACAAGAGGCGTCATGGACTCGGAGGGAGAGGGTACAGCAGCCTCCTCACCAGTTTACTCACCAGTTTACTCACCACCCTACTCACCAGCCTACTCACCAGTTTACTCACCAGTTTACTCACTACCCTCCTCACCAGTTTACTCACCAGTTTACTCACTACCCTACTCACCAGTTTACTCACCAGTTTACTCACCACCCTACTCACCAGCCTTTTCACCAGCCTACTCACCAGTCTACTCACCAGTCTACTCACCAGTCTACTCACCACCCTACTCACCAGTTTACTCACCAGTTTACTCACTACCCTACTCACCAGTTTACTCACCAGTTTACTCACTACCCTACTCACCAGTTTACTCACCAGTTTACTCACCACCCTACTCACCAGTCTACTCACCAGTTTACTCACTACCCTACTCACCACCCTACTCACCACCCTACTCACCAGCCTACTCACCAGTCTACTCACCAGTCTACTCACCAGCCTACTCACCACCCTACTCACCAGTCTACTCACCAGTCTACTCACCACCCTACTCACCAGTCTACTCACCAGCCTACTCACCACCCTACTCACCACCCTACTCACCAGCCTACTCACCAGCCTACTCACCACCCTACTCACCACCCTACTCACCACCCTACTCACCAGCCTACTCACCACCCTACTCACCACCCTACTCACCAGTCTACTCACCAGCCTACTCACCAGTCTACTCACCAGCCTACTCACCAGTCTACTCACCACCCTACTCACCAGTCTACTCACCAGTCTACTCACCAGTCTACTCACCAGCCTACTCACCACCCTACTCACCAGTCTACTCACCAGTCTACTCACCACCCTACTCACCACCCTACTCACCACCCTACTCACCACCCTACTCACCACCCTACTCACCAGCCTACTCACCACCCTACTCACCAGCCTACTCACCACCCTACTCACCAGTCTACTCACCAGTCTACTCACCACCCTACTCACCAGTCTACTCACCACCCTACTCACCAGCCTACTCACCAGCCTACTCACCAGTCTACTCACCACCCTACTCACCACCCTACTCACCACCCTACTCACCAGTCCTACTCACCAGTCTACTCACCACCCTACTCACCAGCCTACTCACCAGTCTAACTCACCACCCTACGCACCACCCTACTCTACCAGCACTACTCACCAGTCTACTCACCACCCCTACTCACCAGCCTACTCACCAGTCTACTCACCCACCCTACTCACCACCCTACTCACCACCCTACTCACCAGCCTACTCACCAGTTTTACTCACACCTACTCACCAGCCTACCCACCACCCTACTCACCACCCTACTCACCACCCTACTCACCACCCTACTCACCAGTCTACTCACCAGCCTACTCACCACCCTACTCACCACCCTACTCACCACCCTACTCACCAGCCTACTCACCAGTCTACTCACCACCCTACTCACCACCCTACTCACCAGTCTACTCACCAGTCTACTCACCAGTCTACTCACCAGCCTACTCACCAGCCTACTCACCACCCTACTCACCACCCTACTCACCAGTTTACTCACCACCCTACTCACCAGTCTACTCACCACCCTACTCACCAGTCTACTCACCAGTCTACTCACCAGTCTACTCACCAGCCTACTCACCACCCTACTCACCAGTCTACTCACCACCCTACTCACCACCCTACTCACCAGCCTACTCACCACCCTACTCACCAGCCTACTCACCACCCTACTCACCAGTCTACTCACCAGCCTACTCACCAGCCTACTCACCAGCCTACTCACCAGTCTACTCACCACCCTACTCACCACCCTACTCACCACCCTACTCACCAGTCTACTCACCAGTCTACTCACCACCCTACTCACCAGCCTACTCACCAGTCTACTCACCACCCTACTCACCACCCTACTCACCACCCTACTCACCAGCCTACTCAGCAGCCTACTCACCAGTTTACTCACCAGCCTACTCACCAGCCTACTCACCACCCTACTCACCACCCTACTCACCAGTCTACTCACCAGCCTACTCACCACCCTACTCACCACCCTACTCACCAGTCTACTCACCAGTCTACTCACCAGCCTACTCACCAGCCTACTCACCACCCTACTCACCACCCTACTCACCAGTTTACTCACCACCCTACTCACCAGTTTACTCACCAGCCTACTCACCAGCCTACTCACCACACTCCCCCCTCACCAGTCTACTCACCACCCTACTCACCAGTCTACTCACCAGTCTACTCACCAGCCTACTCACCAGTCTACTCACCACCCTACTCACCAGCCTACTCACCACCCTACTCACCAGCCTACTCACCACCCTACTCACCAGTCTACTCACCACCCTACTCACCACCCTACTCACCACCCTACTCACCAGCCTACTCACCACCCTACTCACCAGCCTACTCACCACCCTACTCACCAGCCTACTCACCAGCCTACTCACCACCCTACTCACCAGCCTACTCACCACCCTACTCACCAGCCTACTCACCACACTCCCCCCTGACCAGCCTACTCACCACCCTACTCACCAGCCTACTCACCACCCTACTCACCAGCCTACTCACCAGCCTACTCACCAGCCTACTCACCAGTCTACTCACCAGTCTACTCACCACCCTACTCACCAGTTTACTCACCAGTCTACTCACCACCCTACTCACCACCCTACTCACCAGCCTACTCACCACCCTACTCACCACCCTACTCACCACCCTACTCACCAGCCTACTCACCACACTCCCCCCTGACCAGCCTACTCACCACCCTACTCACCACCCTACTCACCAGCCTACTCACCACCCTACTCACCACCCTACTCACCAGCCTACTCACCAGCCTACTCACCAGCCTACTCACCAGTCTACTCACCAGTCTACTCACCACCCTACTCACCAGCCTACTCACCACCCTACTCACCAGCCTACTCACCAGCCTACTCACCACCCTACTCACCAGCCTACTCACCACCCTACTCACCACCCTACTCACCAGCCTACTCACCAGCCTACTCACCAGCCTACTCACCAGTCTACTCACCAGTCTACTCACCACCCTACTCACCAGCCTACTCACCACCCTACTCACCACCCTACTCACCAGCCTACTCACCAGCCTACTCACCAGCCTACTCACCAGTCTACTCACCAGCCTACTCACCAGCCTACTCACCAGCCTACTCACCAGTTTACTCACCACCCTACTCACCAGCCTACTCACCAGCCTACTCACCAGCCTACTCACCAGTCTACTCACCAGTTTACTCACCACCCTACTCACCAGCCTACTCACCACCCTACTCACCAGCCTACTCACCACCCTACTCACCACCCTACTCACCAGCCTACTCACCAGCCTACTCACCAGCCTACTCACCACCCTACTCACCAGCCTACTCACCAGTTTACTCACCACCCTACTCACCAGTCTACTCACCACCCTACTCACCAGCCTACTCACCAGCCTACTCACCACCCTACTCACCACCCTACTCACCAGTCTACTCACCACCCTACTCACCACCCTACTCACCAGCCTACTCACCAGCCTACTCACCACCCTACTCACCAGCCTACTCACCAGTTTACTCACCACCCTACTCACCAGTCTACTCACCACCCTACTCACCAGCCTACTCACCAGCCTACTCACCACCCTACTCACCAGCCTACTCACCAGTCTACTCACCACCCTACTCACCACCCTACTCACCACTGCGCTCACCACAGGGCTGTTGACGGGGAGCTGCGTGCGAGCGGGGGGAGCGGCCTCCAAGTCGTGTGAGGTGAGGGCCTGGTGCCCTCTGGAGCACAGCGACCACGTGCCCTCGTTAGTTGCTCACCACCACCACTCACCACCACTCACCACCAACACTCACCACTCACCAACACTCACCAACACTCACCACTCACCACCAACACTCACCACTCACCAACACTCACCAACACTCACCACTCACCACCACCACTCACCAACACTCACCACTCACTTCCACCACTCAACAACACTCACCACCACTCACCACTCACCACCACCACTCACCACCAACACTCACCACCACTCACCACTCACCACCAACACTCACAACTCACCAACACTCACCACCACTCACCACCACCACTCAACACCACTCACCACTCACCACCAACACTCACCACTCACCACCAACACTCACCACCACTCACCAACACTCACCACCACTCACCACCACTCACCACCAACACTCACCACTCACCAACACTCACCACCACTCACCACTCACCACCAACACTCACCACTCACCAACACTCACCAACACACACCACTCACCACCACCACTCACCAACACTCACCACTCACTTCCACCACTCAACAACACTCACCACCACTCACCACTCACCACCACCACTCACCACTCACCACCAACCCTCACCACCACTCACCAACACTCACCACCACTCACCACCACCACTCACCACCACCACTCACCACCACTCACCAACACTCACCACCAACACTCACCACTCACCAACACTCACCACCACTCACCACCACCACCACCACTCACCAACACTCACCACTCACCAACACTCACCACTCACCAACACCACTCACCACCACTCACCACCAACACTCACCACCACTCACCACTCACCACCACCACTCACCACTCACCACCAACACTCACCACCACTCACCAACACTCACCACCACTCACCACCACCACTCACCACCACCACTCACCACCACTCACCAACACTCACCACCACCACTCACCAACACTCACCACCACTCACCACTCACCACCACCACTCACCACCACTCACCAACACTCACCACAACTCACCACCACTCACCACCACCACTCACCAACACTCACCACTCACCAACACTCACCACTCACCACCACCACTCACCACCACTCACCACCACCACTCACCAACACTCACCAACACTCACCACCACTCACCACCACCACCACTCACCAACCAACACTCACCACCACCACTCACCACCACTCACCAACCAAGACTCACCACCACCACTCACCACCACTCACCAACACTCACCACTCACCACTCAGCACCACTCACCAACACTCACCACCACTCACCAACACTCACCAACACTCACCACTCACCACCACCACTCACCACCACTCACCACCATTCACCACCACCACTCACCACCACTCAGCACCACTCACCACCACTCACCACCACCACTCACCACCACTCACCACCACCACTCACCACTACTCACCACCACCACTCACCAACACTCACCACCACTCACCACCACAAACCACCACCACTCACCACCACTCACCACCACCACTCACCACCACTCAGCACCACTCACGACCACCACTCACCACCACTCACCATCACTCACTACCACCACCTCTCAGCACCACTCAACATCACTCACCACCACTCACCACCACTCACCACTCACCACCACAAACCACCACCACCACTCACCACCACTCACCACCACTCACCACCACCACTCACCACCACTCAGCACCACTCACCGCCATAACTCACCACCACTCACCACCACTCACCACTCAGCACCACTCACCATCACTCACCACCACTCACCACCACTCACCACCACCACTCACCACCACCACCGCTCACCACCACCACCACTCAGCACCACCACCACCACTCACCACTCACCACCACCACTCAGCACCACTCACCACCACTCACCACCACCACTCACCACCACTCACCACCACTCAGCACCACCACTCGCCACCACTCACCACCACTACTCACCACCACCACTCACCACCACACAGCACCACCTCTCACCACCACTCACCACCACCACTCACCACCACTCACCACCACCACTCACCACCACTCAGCACCACCACTCACTACCACTCACCACCACCACTCACCACCACCACTCACCACCACTCACCACCACCACTCACCACCACTCACCACCACCACCACTCACCACCACCACTCACCACCACTCACCACTCACCACCACTCAGCACCACTCACCACCACCACTCACCACCACTCACCACTCACCACCACTCAGCACCACTCACCACCACTCACCACCACCACTCACCACTACTCACCACCACTCACCACCACTCACCACCACCACTCACCACCACCACCACTCAGCACCACTCACCACCACCACTCACCACTACTCACCACCACTCACCACCACCACTCACCACCACCACTCACCACTACTCACCACCACTCACCACCACCACTCAGCACCACTCACCACCACCACTCACCACCACCACTCACCACTACTCACCACCACTCACCACCACCACCACTCACCACCACTCAGCACCACTCACCACCACCACTCACCACTACTCACCACCACTCACCACCACCACTCACCACCACCACTCACCACTACTCACCACCACTCACCACCACCACTCACCACCACCACTCAACACCACTCACCACCACTCACCACCACCACTCACCACCACCACTCACCACTACTCACCACCACCACCACTCACCACCACTCACCACCACCACTCACCACCACTCACCACTACTCAACACCACCACTCACCACCACTCACCACCACTCACCACCACCACTCAGCACCACTCACCACCACCACTCACCACCACTCACCACCACCACTCACCACCACTCACCACCACTCACCACCACGCCTGCCGCCTTTGTCTCTCCCGCCGGCCCCCAGCCCTGCGCTGCTGCAGGGTGCAGAGAACTTCACGGTGCTCATCAAGAACAGCGTCCAGTTCCCTAAGTTCAGCTTCTTCAAGTGAGCAGCACTGCCACCTCCACCACCACCATCATCATCATCACCATCATCATCATCACCACCACCACCACCATCATCACCATCACCACCACCATCATCACCATCATCACCACCACCACCTCCACCACCACCACCATCATCATCACCACCACCACCATCATCACCATCATCATCACCATCATCATCACCACCACCAACACCACCATCATCACCACCACCTCCACCATCATCATCATCATCACCATCATCACCACCACCACCATCATCACCATCATCATCACCACCACCAACACCACCATCATCACCTCCACCACCACCACCATCATCACCATCATCATCACCACCACCACCTCCACCATCATCACCATCATCATCACCATCATCATCACCATCATCACCATCATCATCACCATCACCACCACCATCATCACCACCACCACCACCACCATCATCACCATCACCACCACCATCATCACCATCATCATCACCACCACCACCACCATCATCACCATCACCACGACCATCATCACCATCATCACCACCACCACCTCCACCACCACCACCATCATCATCACCACCACCACCATCATCATCATCAACATCATCATCACCACCACCAACACCACCATCATCACCACCACCTCCACCATCATCATCATCACCATCATCACCACCACCACCATCATCACCATCATCATCACCACCACCAACACCACCATCATCACCTCCACCACCACCACCACCATCATCACCATCATCATCACCACCACCAGCTCCACCATCATCACCATCATCATCACCATCATCATCACCATCATCACCATCATCATCACCATCACCACCACCATCATCACCATCATCATCACCATCATCATCTCCACCATCATCATCTCCACCATCATCATCACCATCATCATCACCATCATCATCACCATCATCATCACCACCACCACCTCCACCATCATCACCATCATCATCACCATCATCATCACCATCATCACCATCATCATCACCATCACCACCACCATCATCACCACCACCACCACCACCACCATCATCACCATCACCACCACCATCATCACCATCATCATCACCACCACCACCACCATCATCACCATCACCACCACCATCATCACCATCATCACCACCACCACCTCCACCACCACCACCATCATCATCACCACCACCACCATCATCATCATCAACATCATCATCACCACCACCAACACCACCATCATCACCACCACCTCCACCATCATCATCATCACCATCATCACCACCACCACCATCATCACCATCATCATCACCACCACCAACACCACCATCATCACCTCCACCACCACCACCACCATCATCACCATCATCATCACCACCACCACCTCCACCATCATCACCATCATCATCACCATCATCATCACCATCATCACCATCATCATCACCATCACCACCACCATCATCACCATCATCATCACCATCATCATCTCCACCATCATCATCTCCACCATCATCATCACCATCATCATCACCATCATCATCACCATCATCATCATCACCAGCACCACCACCATCATCACCATCACCACCACCATCATCACCATCATCACCACCACCACCTCCACCACCACCACCACCATCATCATCACCACCACCACCATCATCACCATCATCATCACCATCATCATCACCACCACCAACACCACCATCATCACCACCACCTCCACCATCATCATCATCACCATCATCACCACCACCACCATCATCACCATCATCATCACCACCACCAACACCACCATCATCACCTCCACCACCACCACCATCATCACCATCATCATCACCACCACCACCTCCACCATCATCACCATCATCATCACCATCATCATCACCATCATCACCATCATCATCACCATCACCACCATCATCACCACCACCACCACCATCATCACCATCACCACCACCATCATCACCATCATCATCACCACCACCACCACCATCATCACCATCACCACCACCATCATCACCATCATCACCACCACCACCTCCACCACCATCATCATCACCACCACCACCATCATCACCATCATCATCACCATCATCATCACCACCACCAACACCACCATCATCACCACCACCTCCACCATCATCATCATCACCATCATCAACACCACCACCATCATCACCATCATCATCACCACCACCAACACCACCATCATCACCTCCACCACCACCACCACCATCATCACCATCATCATCACCACCACCACCTCCACCATCATCACCATCATCATCACCATCATCATCACCATCATCACCATCATCATCACCATCACCACCACCATCATCACCACCACCACCACCATCATCACCATCACCACCACCATCATCACCATCATCATCACCACCACCACCACCATCATCACCATCATCATCACCACCACCACCACCATCATCACCATCATCATCACCACCACCACCATCATCACCACCACCACCATCATCACCATCACCACCACCACCACCTCCACCATCATCACCATCATCATCACCATCATCATCACCATCATCACCATCATCATCACCATCACCACCACCATCATCACCATCATCATCACCACCACCACCACCTCCACCATCATCACCATCATCATCACCATCATCATCACCATCATCATCATCACCATCATCACCATCACCATCATCATCACCACCACCACCACCACCACCATCATCACCACCACCACCACCACCATCATCACCATCACCACCACCATCATCACCATCATCATCACCATCATCATCTCCACCATCATCATCACCATCATCATCTCCATCACCATCATCATCACCATCATCATCTCCACCATCATCATCTCCACCATCATCATCACCATCATCATCACCATCATCACCATCATCATCATCACCACCACCACCACCATCATCACCATCACCACCACCATCATCACCATCATCACCACCACCACCACCAACACCATCATCATCACCACCACCACCATCATCACCATCATCATCACCATCATCATCACCACCACCAACACCACCATCATCACCACCACCTCCACCATCATCATCATCACCATCATCACCACCACCACCATCATCACCATCATCATCACCACCACCAACACAACCATCATCACCTCCACCACCACCACCATCATCACCATCATCACCACCACCACCTCCACCATCATCACCATCATCATCACCATCATCATCACCATCATCACCATCATCATCACCATCACCACCACCATCATCACCACCACCACCACCATCATCACCATCACCACCACCATCATCACCATCATCATCACCACCACCACCACCATCATCACCATCACCACCACCATCATCACCATCATCACCACCACCTCCAACACCATCATCATCACCACCACCACCATCATCACCATCATCATCATCACCATCATCATCACCACCACCAACACCACCATCATCACCACCACCTCCACCATCATCATCATCACCACCACCTCCACCATCATCATCATCACCATCATCACCACCACCACCACCATCATCAACATCATCATCACCACCACCAACACCACCATCATCACCTCCACCACCACCACCATCATCACCATCATCATCACCACCACCACCTCCACCATCATCACCATCATCATCACCATCATCATCACCATCATCACCATCATCATCACCATCACCACCACCATCATCACCATCATCATCACCATCATCATCTCCACCATCATCATCACCATCATCATCTCCATCACCATCATCATCACCATCATCATCTCCACCATCATCATCTCCACCACCATCATCACCATCATCATCACCATCATCATCATCACCACCACCACCACCATCATCACCATCACCACCACTATCATCACCATCATCACCACCACCACCACCATCACCATCATCATCACCACCACCACCATCATCACCATCACCACCACCATCATCATCACCACCACCAACACCACCATCATCACCACCACCTCCACCATCATCATCATCACCATCATCACCACCACCACCATCATCACCATCATCATCACCACCACCAACACCACCATCATCACCTCCACCACCACCACCATCATCACCATCATCATCACCACCACCACCTCCACCATCATCACCATCATCATCACCATCATCACCATCATCATCACCATCACCACCACCATCATCACCACCACCACCACCATCATCACCATCACCACCACCATCATCACCATCATCATCACCACCACCACCACCATCATCACCATCACCACCACCATCATCACCATTATCATCACCATCATCATCACCACCACCAACACCACCATCATCACCACCACCACCTCCACCACCATCATCATCACCACCACCACCATCATCACCATTATCATCACCATCATCATCACCACCACCATCATCACCATCATCATCACCACCACCACCTCCACCATCATCACCATCATCATCACCATCATCATCACCATCATCACCATCATCATCACCATCACCACCACCATCATCACCACCACCACCACCATCATCACCATCACCACCACCATCATCACCATCATCATCACCACCACCACCATCATCACCATCATCATCACCACCACCACCACCACCATCATCACCATCATCATCACCACCACCACCATCATCACCACCACCACCATCATCACCATCACCACCACCACCACCACCTCCACCATCATCACCATCATCATCACCATCATCATCACCATCATCATCATCACCATCACCACCACCATCATCACCATCATCATCACCACCACCACCACCACCACCATCATCACCATCATCATCACCATCATCATCACCATCATCATCATCACCATCATCACCATCACCATCATCATCACCACCACCACCACCATCATCACCACCACCACCACCATCATCACCATCACCACCACCATCATCACCATCATCATCACCATCATCATCTCCACCAT